CAACTCAGTCTTTGTTCAGAAGGTCATGCAGCAGTTCACAGATGGTATACAAAAGATCAGGTAAGTTAATCTCTATTGTGCTTTAACTAATTCTCATATCTAATTTTACCTGATTACTAATGAACACGTCTCTACGGGTTCTGTTCAGAGATTCCCTTCCAGTGTTCTGTGAAGAACACTGTGGCAGTGTGTCTCAACTGGCCAAGAGATGCCGCACACTGGGCCCAGGTGATCTTGAGAGGATAGCCACAGAGGTGAGGCAGAAACTGAATATGGGGTGTCCATCCATTTTTCGTCACACTTATCCCAAGCGGGGTCGTGAGGGGTGCTGGTATGTGTCGCAGTTAATGCAGCCCCGGCACTCTGTGACCGCAGACAGTACTGCAGACAGGGGGCCTCTGATTGGTCACATCTACATTCGCTCTAGACTATGCCCATTTCCTGTTTGGTACCTTATTGGCTTGTTTTGTTTGTAGAAAACAACTCCTGAAGTTGGACCAGCTAGAAGAGCGAGGTGCGCGAGAACGCTGGGACCCTTTATCCACCTGGATCTACCCTCATGTCCCTCAGTTGTCGCACAATTTGCCCCTTGTGTTTTTTCACTTTCTCACCACCTCTGTCATATCTAGACCCACAGCTAGTTCATGATACATGCGACATACATGAGACAAGTTAACTGTGACAAACTGATGCAGGAGTACAGGTGCTGGTCATAAAATTAGAATATCATGAAAAAGTAGATTGATTTCAGTAATTCCATTTAAAAAGTGAAACTTGTATATTATATTCATACATTACATACAAACTCATATATTTCAGATGTTTATTTTGTTTAATTTTGATGATTACAAATGACAACAAATGAAAATCTCAAATTCATCATATCAGAAAATTAGAATATTGTGAAAAGGTTCAAAATTGATGGCCCCTGGTGCCACACTCTAATCAGCTAATTAACTCAAACCACCTGCAAAAGCCTTTAAATGGTCTTTCAGTCTAGTTCTATAGGCTACACAATCATGGGGAAGACTGCTGACTTGACAGTTGTCCAAAAGACGACCATCGACACCTTGCACAAGGAGGGCAAGACACAAAAGGTCATCGCTAAAGAGGCTGGCTGTTCACAGAGCTCAGTGTCCAAGCACATTAATAGAGAGGCGAAGGGAAGGAAAAGATGTGGTCGAAAAAAGTGTACAAGCAAGAGAGATAACCGCACCCTGGAGAGGATTGTGAAACAAAACCCATTCAAAAATGTGGGGGAGATTCACAAAGAGTGGACTGCAGCTGGAGTGAGTGCTTCAAGAACCACCACACACAGACGTATGAAAGACATGGGTTTCTGCTGTCGCATTCCTTGTGTCAAGCCACTCTTGAACCACAGACAGCGTCAGAAGCGTCTTGCCTGGGCTAAAGAGAAACGGGACCAAAGTCATGTTCTCTGATGAAAGTAAATTTTGCATTTCCTTTGGAAATCAAGGTCCCAGAGTCTGGAGGAAAAGAAGAGAGGCACTTCATCCACGTTGCTTGAAGTCCAGTGTAAAGTTTCCACAGTCAGTGATGGTTTGGGGTGCCATGTCATCTGCTGGTGTTGGTCCATTGTGTTTTCTGAGGTCCAGGGTCAACGCAGCCACATACCAGGAAGTTTTAGAGCACTTCATGCTTCCTGCAGGTGACCAACTTTTTGGAGATGCAGATTTCATTTTCCAACAGGACTTGGCACCTGCACACAGTGCCAAAGCTACCAGTACCTGGTTGAAGGACCATGGTATCCCTGTTCTTAATTGGCCAGCAAACTCTCCTGACCTTAACCCCATAGAAAATCTATGGGGTATTGTGAAGAAGAAGATGCAATACACCAGACCCAACAATTCAGAAGAGCTAAAAGCCACTATTAGAGCAACCTGGGCTATCATAACACCTGAGCAGTGCCACAGACTGATCGACTCCATGCCACGCCGCATTGCTGCAGTAATACAGGCCAAAGGAGGCCCAACTAAATACTTAGTGCTGTACATGCTCATACTTTTCATGTTCATACTTTTCAGTTGGCCAACATTTCTATAAATCCTTTGTTTTTATTGGTCTTCAGTAATATTCTAATTTTCTGATATGATGAATTTCAGATTTTCATTTGTTGTCATTTGTAATCATCAAAATTAAACAAAATAAACATCTGAAATATATGAGTTTGTATGTAATGTATGAATATAATATACAAGTTTCACTTTTTAAATGGAATTACTGAAATCAATCTACTTTTTCATGATATTCTAATTTTATGACCAGCACCTGTATAACAAACCCATCACACCTTAGGAGAATTTAGAGAAGCCAGCTAACCTAACAGTCATGTTTTTGGACTGTGGGAGGAAGCCGGAGTACACGGCGAGAATCCATGCATGCTCAGGGAGAACATGGAAACTCCATGCAGAAAGACCCAGGGCCGGGAATCAAACCCGGAACCTTCTTGCAGCAACTGCAAGCAGGGCTACCCACTGCTCCACTGGGCAGACCCCTGCATCTTAATGTGTTTAATCATAGTGCTATATTCTCAAGAAGGGGACACACACCTTAGAATACGTCTTGTATAATATTATATAGTGTACTTTTTAGGTACTTTGTTAATTTGCATAGTTGCTCTTAAATAACCAGATTTTCAGAAAAATAAATAGTTTTTATGTATTAAAAATAGTAAGCTAACTAATATCTTCTCCATTATTAAACTGCTATATGTATTTTTTTTTTTAGATTTGTGACACCATATTGGAGCATGCAAATCAGAGGTTTGCGTTCACAAATCATCTGGTCAGTGCTACACTGCTGCATGCAGACAGATTCCTGGAGTACCACAAGCAGTTCCCTAATGCTGCACTAAACACCATCATTGAGGCTTACCCACTGCTCAACAAGAACAAACTGAAAACTGAGCTGGCTCTGATCTACAGCAATGCTGGGTTCAGGAGGTGCAGTGGTGCTGTGGCTCTGTACCAGTTCTTCATGAGGAACGATCTACAGGACATCTTCTCAGAGACTGTGGCTCTGCTGAAGATCCTCATCACAACTCCCATGACCACAGCTGAATCTGAGAGGTGCTTCTCAACACTGAAGAGGATCAAGACCTTCCTCAGGAACACAATGTCACAGGACCATCTCAATGCCCTGGCCATGGTCTCTATGGAGAAGAACCTTATTAAAACCATCCCTGACTTCAACCACAGAGTCATTGAGAAATTTGCTTCTCTCAATGACAGAATGGCAACATTCATGTACAAAAAATGAACCTGTACATGATTACATGAACAATTGTTTTTTATGTAGTGTTTTTCATAATGTTGTTTTTTGTTGTTGTTTTCATATAAATATATGTGATAACTTAGTATCCATTTGATTGGTTTTTGCTATACGGCTATTTTGAATTTGTTGCCCCTGGTGAAAACTCCACCGACCACCTTTGCCAAAATCACTAGAGACAAAATTATACATCGCCACAAGTCTGGAAAGGGCTACAGGGAAATTGCCAAGCAGCTTGGTGAAAATGGTCCACTGTTGGACCAATCATTAGATAATGGAAAAAACTAAACGTAACTGTCAATCTCCCTTGGCTGCATGCAAGATCTCACCTCATGGGGTCTCAAAGATCCTAAAAAGGTGAGAAATCAGCTCCTCCTGTGTAGTTCAGCCCTAAACTACACGGGAGGAGATGGTCAATGACATGAAACAGGGTTCCCGCGGGTCCTTAAAAAGTCTTAAAAGGCATTGAATTCTTCAAAATAAAACTAAGGCCTTAATTGGTATTAAAATGTGTTAAATCAGTCTTTCGTAGGTCTTTATTTTTAAAACGTCATAAATAGGATTATTTTTATTACAATTTATTTTTGTAATCTAAATAAAACATTAAAATTTAAAAAATTTTTTTTTTTTATTTAAAATAACAGCTCGCCATTATTGGTTCCGTCCCGATAGCGGAACCAATAAAAGCGTTGTTGCGGCCGGGACATTTAGGAGATGCACCATTAAGTTAATGTCTGGAAAATATAAGCAAGTGAAAATGTAACCAAAATTGTCTCCAGCCAAGAGTTTTCTCCATGGCTAAAACCAGGGAACATACATGAGGCTCAGTGGATTTTTGTGCAAGAAGTCATTCAAGCTCAGAACGATGGGAATAAAGGCAGTGGAGTCGCACATGCAAAGCGCGAAACACAAAATGGAGTTACAGAGAAACAGCCGGTATTTCTCACTTTTGTTCCACCCTTGTCTCTGCAAAGCCTCCACTTTTCACCACTAGCACTTAGTGCTAGTAGGTTCCCAATGGGAAATTCCATCGTTAACAAGTAGCACTAAATTGGTGATTTAGAAACGACACTGTCAAGGAACGCTATGGACAGCGGAAACATGCAAGAGGAGGAGAGTTTAGTGTCGGAGGTCGTGGATGAGTCTCCTCCGTCATCCATTTTTTATTTAGAGGAGGAAAGCGGGGACGAAGATGTTGTGGAAGAGGACGCCAGGGCGGCAGAAGCTTGGTTTGGTGTAGAAGGCTTCCAGCCGTACATGTTTAAGCCCTTGCCTCGCAACGCTGCCAGTTCTGTTAGCTCTATGCCTGCCGAAGACACAGACGTCCATCCCCGTGAAGACTGGGACGCAACTCAATGGGAAAGGAAATCATTTTTTTTTTTTATTTCAACCGTTGCGTATTAGCAGCGACACATGAATCAAGATGCTATGACCAAAACATTTTGATTGACAGATGACGTTTATATATTATTGGCTGAATTTAGGTGTTCAGGCTGACGTAGAACTAACTGACCTTAAGCATAAGGTAATATAAAAAAAACCACAGATTTGAAGACATAATTTTTTTTTCTTTTAAAAGAACTGTTTTCAATTTTGGGAAAATATAGTCTGATAAAGAGTACATTTATATACATGTTTAAGCCAGAATGATTTGACATTTAAATATGACTTCCCTACGACTTTAAACCAGCACATGTCAAGGCCCGTCTTCAGTTTGTCAAGGACCATTTGGATGATCCAGAGAAGTCATGGGAGAAAGTCATGTGGTCAGATGAGACCAAGATAGAACTTTGATGAGTACCATCCCAAGAACACCTTCCCTACTGTGAAGCTTTGTGGTGGTAGGTGTTGGATTTAACCCAAACACTTATCAAAACACCTGGGGAAGAAGGACAAGAGATGTTAAATTATTTTTACTTGCTAGGAGAGCAGGTAGAAATGTCCTCAGTTACAACCTCCCACCACTCTGAAGTCCCTCTGCTGTCTTCCTCGCTCTTAATTAGGAAAAAAGGGGAGTCCCTAGTTCCAATAGATAACACTGTAACTCTAAAGGATGTGTGGGGAGTAAATTGCAGCATGATACAGGGAAACACACATTTTTTCATGCAGGCAGTGACCTTGAGTTATACACATGAAGAACATTCAGTTCATGGTACCTGCAAAGTAATTCTTTCACCAGACTTAATACAGTATAAGATACAATGAAATGGCTCCAACAATAGTATCATGCTTTGGGATGATTTTCTGCATATGGGACAGGGCGACTGCACTGTATTAAGAGGAGGATGACCGGGGCCATGTATGGCAAGAGTTTAGGGAATGACCTCCTTCCCTCTGAGCATTGAAGAATGGTGGAGGCTGGGTATTCCAGCATGACAATGACCTGAAGCACATAGCCAGGATAACCAAGGAGTGGCTCTGGAAGAATCATATCAAGGTTCTAGTGTGGCCTATCCAGTCTCCAGACTTAAACCCAGCAGAAAGTCTTTGGAGGGAGCTCCAACTCTGTTTCTCAGTGAAAGCCAATAAACCTCTCTGATCTAGATGTTATCTGTGTGGAGGAGTGGGCCAAAATCCCTCCTGCAGTGTGTTCAAACCTGGTGATAAACTACAGGAAATGTCTGACCTCTGGAATTGTAAACAAATGCTGCTGTACCAAATATTAACATTGATTTTTTCGGGTGTTCAAATACGTATTTGCAGCTGTATCAAACAAATTAACAATTAATTTAAAAAAAATTTGATTTCTGGATATTTTTAACACTGTCTCTCACAGTGGACATGCACCTACAATGATTTCAAATTTCAAACCCCTCCATGATTTCGAAGTGGGAGAACTAGCAAAATAGCAGGGTGTTCAAATACTTCTTTTCCTCACTGGATCTCACCTTCAGTCTAAAAATAAAATGCATTTTGCATGATATCTGTTTGCATCAGACCCTCAATTTTTCCCCCTGTCAACATTTACAACCTGTCCTAAGAAAAAGAGCAGAAAAAAATAAAATTGGGATTGTCGGCATAGAGCTTGGAATGCAGAGGTTCTTCTGAGTTCTAGCCCCACTCCTACAGAGTGTCACACTGGCTCCCTTTAACCCAACACTGCTCCCCAGGCACCATACAATGGCAGCACACTGCTCCCCAAGGGGATGTGGAGCAGAGCAAAGCTTACTGAAGCGAAGGGGGAATTTATGGAGGCGAATGGCAGGATTTTGGTGACATTTGATTGCTGCCTCACCTGCAAATGACGTTGAAAAATCTGAACTTTAGTTTACATTCGTGTTTCGTAATCTAACTAGATGTGGGTACTGTGAAGGAGTGCAGCAGAGATGAGCCTATTTAAAAATAGAAATTGTAGCTAAATAAAATAATGTTGACAATGACTAAAGTGGGAATTGAGAGGATTTAAGGTGACTTCAAAATCCATTTTAATTCAGCTTGAAAAACAATTTCTTCTTCAAACACTGGTCACTCGATTCCTTCTCTCTCCAGCTCTGCCATTGTCTGCCCCGGCAGGATTTACTGATCCTCCTCTATTCTCTTTTCATCTTCAGCAGTTAGCCTCTAGAGGCTAGCTCCAGCCAGCTATGGCCTCTCCCCGCTCTGACTCCCATGGCTTGCTTCTCCAATGTGCCACTGTCCTACTCCTGGGCAGTCGTAGTCTCGAACCCGCCTTCTCTGCTCTGCAGGGATTAAAGTGTTCAGGCCCCGGCTTGTAGCGATTCCTCGTGGGTAAAAAAAAAAAAAAGTCACTCAAAAATAAATTGAATGCAGACAACTTTGTTCAGCTTTCTAAAGTGAACACGGCTGGTTGCTTTGTAAATCCATGTCCTGTACGATGAGGTGCCTTTCACCTGCTGTGAAATGCTTTTCACGGTAGAGTCCTGCACGGGTTGAGTTTTACCAACCCGCACCCGTCCGAACCCGTTAGGATGACTACCTAACCCGACCCATCACCCGCAGATATCTTCAATTCAAATCCGAACCCAACCCGTTGATATTTAACTCGCAACCCGACCCGTTAAAAAATCAAGTAATAGGCTATAGTACGCTGCGCTGCAGAACAGCGCCATTAACACTGCAGCAGACGTGTATGCACTGACTGTGGCCTTTTTGGAGGGAAGCCCACACTGCCAGCAGGGCTTTAAGCTACAACAAGGGTGACCCCAGACAGTGCCTGATTAAAACAACATTTCTGATGTCCATAACAATAGACACGCATAAAAAAAAAAATCGCCAACTACCCGCCCGCACTAAAAAAATATCCGCTCGACGCCCGACCCGTTTATTTTTATTTATGTATTTTTCACCCGCAAAAGAGCATTTTTGCAGGTGACCCGTCGGGTACCCGACCCGTTGCAGGACTCTATTTCACGGGTTAGGCAAATTTCAAGGCGAGCCAAAGCAGAAGAAACTGGCAGAAATGTGTCACTCTCAGTGTGAACCCATTTTTAGGAATGTTGATTTTTATCCAGATTTTTTTATTTTTATATATATATAATGCATGGTTGTTTTTTTGTTTTTATATTGAAATTCAGAATATAATTCAACCGTACATGTATGAACCCTTGTCGGACCCGGAGAGTCCATCTACGGAAGAACCGGAGAAAGAACGGAGAATCCTACAAGATGTCTCCACTTGGTGAGATATCTCCCACTGATCATCTAATACACCAAACACCTTGAATATACAACCTATGAAGCTGTTTGGCACCAACATAATAAACAGCTGTCATTGTTAGAACATGTTTTGCAATGAAAAGATTTATTTGTCAAGTACTATTCCTTCTCACAGGTGTCTCTGTGGTTGTTGCCATACCATGCCCACTGAAGATGAAAATGTTTGCTGCAAGGAGATCCCAAAGGTGTATCTCTCTTTCTTTGATTTATGCAGCGCTGATTCAGTATTGAATCATTTAGTTGTTATCCATATATGAAGTTATCGAGAAATTATACCTACAAATATCTTTTTTTATTTCTGTATTATCTGTCAAATGTATTCAGCTAAACTTTGAAGCTAATGACTACATGTTTTTCAAACCTGATAGGTGTTGAGAAGGATTAATCAGCTGCCAACAGAGCTAAACTGCATCACAAACCATCCTGGATTTCAGGTGAACTGTTTGAATCAGTTCGTTCTACAAAATATCAACAACATTTACAGAGCTGATTATGGACGTGTACGGAGAAAAAGAGTGACGGAGTATGTATTCAAGAACATTTGAAATTTACTAACATTTGCAATTTTTTTTAGTAAAATTTGATTATATTTATTGAATATTATTAAATATCAAGTATTATTAAATATGAATAAGTAACATTTAATATTAACAGTTTTGTTATAATTCTAGTCGTTTCAGATTTCTGGCTCAGACGAGTTTTGTGAGTTGGTGCTGGGGATTCATTGGAGCAAGATTAAGGGTCGTAATCCCGTCATGTGCTGTCCGGAGGATTTGTCAGGAATTCCCAGATCCTTGCGAAACAAACATTGAGTTCAAGACTGTTGGCTACCTCGCGCCACTGGATTAAATTACGACGTTTGAGCGGGAACATTCACCTCGTTTGAATGCCTGTAAAACATCGGCAGAGGTTCAAGGTTGTGCAACAGCACCTTCTGCAGCCACCTGTGGTACTTTTTTGGGGGTCAATAAGTACCTTGTTCAAAAATCATTACTCTTTCAACATGTTAAATAATAAATGCAGTTTCTGTTACAAAATGTATTTTCTTTTTTGGAAAGTGTTTAAAGTGTGTTGAACCATAAACCATAAATAAGATACTTTTCATTACAGCCTGTTGATATTTAAAGAAATTACATTTATTATTTGTATCATCCGGACAATTCATTTCTTTGTGTTGAACTTAGTGCTGCACCAACTTGGTATTCACCAGATACCAAAATGATGCAAATTTAAATTTCACACTGTTAACATTAGTTATAAAACTAAGACAATGAAGTCTAAGGAACTTAAGCAACGTACATATACGAGAGAAATCCAGAATTGTAGAAGCAATTTGCAATAACCAGTATAATGTTTAAAGCTCCTGTCCTTAAAATTGGTTTCTGCCTTTAACTTTTATACATTAAGTAGTTTTAAAAGTGTAAAAATACTTTACACTTTTACTTCAGTAAAAAGCAGAAGTTAATACTCTTTTATAAAATTGTTTTTAACAGTAGGATTTATGCCTGTACTTATCGTAAAATGGGACAGATGGACCCAGTATTCAGGTAATACAAAAAAAATACAAAACAGAAACTTAACGGGGGCTGCTGTGGATCAGCTGACATGCATCAGCTGCAGAGGGGGCAGGGCACCACCCAATCACTGACACTGTGGAGGGAGAAACACTGGTAAGTGACAGCGACCTGTCATTCCTCTCTGGAAGGCCAGATCCAGCCAATAGACTGCCAAACGAACTGCAGCGCACAGCCCCCTAAGTGTTCCCGATGCAGCAAATCCAGTGAGCAGTAAGGAATCCGATCCAAGTAAGGGAACACAGATCAGACGGGACAGTTCTGGAATCCAGGGGTCCGTAGCCGGGCTGGGGGTTCCGATCTGAACAGGAACAGACAGATCCAGGGTTCCAGAATCCACGAAGCGTTCAGGCAGGTTCAGAGTTCCAATGAGTCCAGCTGTAAACTCAGACAGACACACTCAGAAGGAGACAGGCAGGCTCAGTGGTTGAGAGGATTGTAGACAAGACATTGTACCAGGATAACTGCCAAACTTTAAACCATACTCCTCCTGGGAGCCAGGATCACGGGAATTAAAACTGGCCTCCACCGTACTACAGACAAAAACACTGAGGGCTCCAGGGATAAGGGCCAGAAACCGGCTCTTCTCACCATCTTCAATTCAGAATCAAAGCTGAACCTTGTTGATGTGTAATTTCAAAATTAAAGCCCTATAAAATCCCTACACTTAATCTCTTTGACCTAATTTGCTCGCCATATTGCTACTAAACTATTTATTTTCTGTGAAAGCTGCCATTTTGAAATTTTAGTAGAACACCTCCAGATGTTTCTCATTAAGTTTCATCAAATCTGATGTTGAATTTCTAAATAAAAGCCCCATAAAATCCCTACACCTAGTTTTTTCGACCTAAGTTGCTCACCATAGCTGAAGATTTGAGAAAGAAATGTTTTTATTTGCAATACTGTTATTAATCACTACTTTACTTTCTAATTTGAGAGTTTGACAGGAAGATTGATTATAATTTATTTAAAAAAGCAAAACAAAAAGACAAGATGTGACTAGAAATAATAAATATGTACTTCTACCTTTAAGTAGAAAAAAAATTGTAATTGACAATTTGTAATTAGAAATTGAATTATAAAAATTACACTAAGAATTACCTTAATGTGATTCAAGTATGGAAAGAAATGTTTGACATAAAACCAGAGGAAACAAGGATGATTTTCTACCAATAACAAAAGACCACAGGCAGGAAGAGGGCGGGGCTTAACAAGCAATCTGCCAAACAACCAAGAGGGGATCTCTAATTGTCTGAAGGAGCAATGAAAGAACCATCATCTCTGCTGAGTCTGCTCTGTAAGTGAAACATTTGTCTTTTAATATAAAGGTTTAACTTAGAAAAGAAGCATTAAAGGACTGACATGGTTTTATCACAGAAGAAGCCAGGATCAGCTAGAGGCTTTATGACAGTGGTGTTTGGTTGGGTGTTAGTTGAGAGGAACTGCTTAAACTGTCAGCGGGGGGTTGAGACAGTTTGAACGATATAGGAGATGACAAATGTTACATTTGTTACAGAAATATGTAAAATATGGTTAAAAACATAATTACCAGGATGTTCTTTTGCCTTTTTCACTTAGTATAAAAACAATGGATTGAATTATTTATCATTAATTAATAACATCAAAACTATAACCTTTTTTTTTAGTTATGACATCAGTGCTGTGGAGGTTGACAAACCAAGGTCTGTAAATTTATTCATTCCTTTGCTGTATGTCTCATGTTATATTCATCAGTAACACTATCTAATAATAATAATAATAATAAACCTACCCAGCTGGTCTGACTGTGAGTCCCAGCAGATCTCAGTTCTTTCAAGGAGAATCTGTGTCTCTGAGCTGTGAGGAGAACAACAGCTCTGCTGGATGGACTGTATGGAGGAACACAACTGAAGGGAACAACAAGTGTGGAGATGGATGGGGGGAACCAGCTGGTTCTACCTGCAAAATTCTCCTCTTGCTGTATTGGGACAGTGGAGTTTACTGGTGCTGGTCGTCCAGAGATGGAGCAGCCAGCAGCAGCATCCAGCTCACTGTCACTGGTAAGATCAGACTGTGGAGTTAGTGTTGATGAAGCTGTGTGGAAATGGATGAAATGCTGTAGTTTGTCTCTGTGTTGAGGTGGATCAGTGATCCTGCAGAGTCCTGTCCTCCCTGTGATGGAGGGAGATGACGTCACTCTGAGCTGTCTAACCTGGACCACTCCCTCCAACCTCCCAGCTGCTTTCTATAAAGATGGCTCCCTCATCAGGACTGAGCCCAAAGGTCACATGACCCTCCACCATGTGACCAGCTCTGATGAAGGCCTCTACAGGTGTAACATCAGGGGTCATGGAGCGTCTCCATCCAGCTGGATCTCTGTTGAAGGTCAGCAGCTTCTCTTTCTGCTTCAACCTTCATTATGAGACAGAATAAAACTGATGAGTTTAGTTTACCTTCTTCCAGGAAATCCCTCCATCCCTCCTCCTCCTGACTTAACCACAC